TTGGTGCAGTAATTCCGAAGGAACAATTATTGTACCCTAACAAGATTGACACTCACCTTAACAAGGTACCCTAACAAAACTCTCAACAACAGTGCACTACATGGTGGAATTTTCACCCTAATCCTGAAATTGCTTCAGCATTCCTACCATTGTGATGACAAAGAAATGTATAACTACAGTTCGAGTTGAAGCTCATATCCGACCATAGACATTTATGAATTTTGATCTTTTCAATTAAAATTTGGATTTTTCGACAGAAATTAGCACCTGATTCCATTTTACCTTTTTAGAACTAAGTTCGTGATATGTTTTTGATTAAAACTCACAGCTTCTGGTTAAGCTTGCCGTTTTTTTTTTTTTTTTTTTTTTTTTGCGAAAAATTGTAACCATTTGCTAATTCAAATTTCATCAAGCTTAAAGTAGAGCCTAATCAAACCCTGGTAACTTGAATCTCAGTCCGCCTTTTTTTATATCTGCTTAATTTAGCACTTTGCAAAAAACCATCCCACTTAGCTTTTAAAGCTTCATCAGGCTTTTTTGAGGCAACTTCAGTTAAAGTCTGGGTGTGGTAATTCAATTACTGACCTGTTTTGCTTTTGTTTTTTCGAAGTTAGTGTTTTTTTTTGACAAAACTCTTGTCCAATTGCTTTATCTAAAATCCACGTAAGCTGTTTGAGTTAGCTAGTCCTAAAACCGAGACAGGTAGAGCCCCAGTAGCTTGATCTTCAATCCGTTTTCTTGTGATTTCCACACGTCTCACTTTTTTGCAAAAAATTGCGCCGATTTGGATCAATTTAAAAACTAGCCAGGTTTTTTTGTTGAACCAAAGTTGAACTCCACCACTGGTCAGATTCAGCACTTCTTGATTCCCATGCATTTTGAGATAATTTTAGCTTTTTGCAGAGCCTGTTTTATTGTGCTCACATCCCAACGAACTATACAGGCACTAGCCTCGTCTAAGAACATGATAATCCCCTTCGAAACCACCCTCATTTGGAAACCGGTTAAAAGAAAACAAAAAAAAAGCCCTCTCCCCGTACGGCAGTCCCCCGGCACGGATTTGTTTTCGTAGCTTCCAATAAGCCGATAGGCTGGATGCTAAGATAAAATTCATAATCTCGGACGACTAACAGTCAGTACTGGCACTGTGTTCAGTCTAGACGAGTCAATGTTGCACCATGTGGTTGTTCCTAAAAGCCGAATTTGAACTTCAGCAGCTCGAGCCCAGAAAAATCGCTCAATACGCTAAACTAGATTTGTGCCTGCTATTCAATTATAGCAGTATGGGACCGTGATGACCAGTAATTAGTGCTCAGCGCGCAAAGACTTGGTGCTAAAGTTCGAGAATGGTCGAAAAAAAAAAAAATATGTTGCTGTGGATTCGTCTCGCACCACGTAACCTCAGTTATTCATAGCTCGAATTTTTGCCAAAACTTTCACGTGCCCGTACATTAGACTTATGCGAAAGTGAAATTTGATACGATGTCCCCGGGAAATTTTGTGAAATTTTTTCACATTTCATTCTGTACATTGCATCTTCTGTGTGTCCAGCATTCACATTCCCTCCAGAGTGCTTGGTACCTTCTCGTTTGCCCTGCATTCCCTCTGAACAGTCCTGTAAAAGCTCATCAGACAGCACCCCGGTCCTTCCCTCCCCCTACCGTCCCTCTTGGTAATGTCTACGGCTGTTCATTAGCGATGTCTTGTCAAAAATTTTACGAAATTTTCAAAAAATGTATGGAACAATCCCCATCCAATGATCAGCGGGCTCCTCACTGTGGTACATTGTTTACCAGACATGGCTTAGCGCGTTTACCAGCCGTCTGGTCGCGCCAAATA